AGGCAGTGGACATAAACAAACTTCTTTTAAAAACAAATATACCATGTATGAAGAAAATTGTTTATTTTAGAGATTAGAGCATCAATATCTCTAAAAAGAAAGCCAAACAAATAAAAATGGTTTTCTCTGGCAACTGTCTGTTGCTGATAAAATCCAAAGAAGAAACTGTTTTGACCAGTTCCTGCTTTGTGATAGTCTTAGAGTTGTAGCAGAAAAGCCATGATGTTTACTGATTCTCAAAGAAATCAAAGGGTCACCCTACTGTGAAATTTGTGATTGATTAGATCAGAGTATTGGTTGGCCAGATGAGTTCATTAAACCCAGCTACATCCTGCAGTGAGGTCATGCCAACGCTAATTATAGACTCGCTGGGACTGAATATAGCACATTTATGCTTCCCAGCCCACCTTACTTGATCACACTGAAAAACAACAGGAGGGACTTCTTCCTGGTGGTCCATGGTTAACAGTCTGCCTTGCAATGCAGGGGGCTCGGGTTCAATCCCTGGTCAGGGAACTAAAATCCCGCATACCACAGGGCAACTAAGCCTGTGTGCCACAACTACGGAGCCTGTGTGTTCTAGATCCCACGCGCTGCAACTCCTGAGCCTGGCTGTCACAAGAGAGACCGCACGCCGCAGCGAAGACCCCACATGCCATGACTAAGACTTGAAGCGTGCCAAATGATAATTTTAAAAAAATTAAAAGGAACTGGCAAAGGTCGTGTTTGTTTGTTATGAAACGATAATAACAGGAGACCCAAAGTTTCTGTGAAGTTACGTTTTTGGACTCGGTGAAATTCTTTCTGTCCCACATTGGGTGAACATCATCAAAAGCTTCTGAAAGAGACATTTAGAAGCTGCTTAAATACTGAGTGTTGTTTTCTTGAAGCACACTTTCAGAAAGAAGAACAAGAGATTTGAATACATTGTTACCTGAGTGCAGCCATGCTGAATAAAAACCTAAGAAGAATATTTCGTCTATGATCAGAGATTTATACAAGCAGAGCCGGTGATTATCATCAGCCACACAGAACTGAAAGCAGGGTATATGATTTATGTCTGTTGTTAAATAAGTGTATTTATTTCACTATGAAAGGCGTGGAACCACATGTAGAAAATTTGGGAGAGAGAGAAAAGGCAAAAAATCAGTTACCATCAATCCTATGCAGTCATTGTTTTAATCTTCATCTCTTGTCTTTCATCCTTTTTCTTATTAACCCAAAAAATCATTTTTAAAACTTGCTGAAATTATTTGTTTTTATAAATGCAATTTTAAAACATATCATCCACATAAACATAGATTTAATGTATAATGTGATAAAGCTCAAAGGTATAATTATGGAGCAGCAAATGATAACATGTAGTATTTGAAGCAATATAGCTTCAAACTGTTTTATTTTCAATAAAACTGAATTGTTTTATTTTCAACATATTTGCACTCTGTTCACCCAGCCCTTTTCCAGTGTTAAATGTACTACAAATACAAATATTTCGAGTAAGTCTTGGCTTGTGGTATGCAGTTCATGAGTGATTGTTGTTTTATTGTTGCTAGTTATTATTACTGTACTTGGTAATATAAATAACCAAAAGTTATTAATTATAAAGGCATACAGCATCAAATCCTTTATATATATATTTCATCTCGACCTCATGGTGATGATAATTTATTTGTAAAAACCTTTATATGGTATTGGTGGTTTGGATAGATTGCTTTATAATGACAGTGAAACTTTGAAAGAAGTCTGTTCCACTATCAGACAAAGAATTGGTCAATTTCTAAGTGATTTTCAACTTAGAGTTTTTAAGAAGGCAGTGGACATAAACAAACTTCTTTTAAAAACAAATATACCATGTATGAAGAAAATTATTTATTTTAGAGATTAGAGCATCAATATCTCTAAAAAGAAAGCCAAACAAATAAAAATGGTTTTCTCTGGCAACTGTCTGTTGCTGATAAAATCCAAAGAAGAAACTGTTTTGACCAGTTCCTGCTTTGTGATAGTCTTAGAGTTGTAGCAGAAAAGCCATGATGTTTACTGATTCTCAAAGAAATCAAAGGGTCACCCTACTGTGAAATTTGTGATTGATTAGATCAGAGTATTGGTTGGCCAGATGAGTTCATTAAACCCAGCTACATCCTGCAGTGAGGTCATGCCAACGCTAATTATAGACTCGCTGGGACTGAATATAGCACATTTATGCTTCCCAGCCCACCTTACATGATCACACTGAAAAGCAACAGGAGGGACTTTTTCCTGGTGGTCCATGGTTAACAGTCTGCCTTGCAATGCAGGGGGCTCGGGTTCAATCCCTGGTCAGGGAACTAAAATCCCACATACCACAGGGCAACTAAGCCTGTGTGCCACAACTACGGAGCCTGTGTGTTCTAGATCCCACGCGCTGCAACTCCTGAGCCTGGCTGTCACAAGAGAGACCGCACGCCGCAGCGAAGACCCCACATGCCATGACTAAGACTTGAAGCGTGCCAAATGATAATTTTAAAAAAATTAAAAGGAACTGGCAAAGGTCGTGTTTGTTTGTTATGAAACGATAATAACAGGAGACCCAAAGTTTCTGTGAAGTTACGTTTTTGGACTCGGTGAAATTCTTTCTATCCCACGTTGGGTGAACATCATCAAAAGCTTCTGAAAGAGACATTTAGAAGCTGCTTAAATACTGAGTGTTGTTTTCTTGAAGCACACTTTCAGAAAGAAGAACAAGAGATTTGAATACATTGTTACCTGAGTGCAGCCATGCTGAATAAAAACCTAAGAAGAATATTTCATCTATGATCAGAGATTTATACAAGCAGAGCCGGTGATTATCATCAGCCACACAGAACTGAAAGCAGGGTATATGATTTATGTCTGTTGTTAAATAAGTGTATTTATTTCACTATGAAAGGCGTGGAACCACATGTAGAAAATTTGGGAGAGAGAGAAAAGGCAAAAAATCAGTTACCATCAATCCTATGCAGTCATTGTTTTAATCTTCATCTCTTGTCTTTCATCCTTTTTCTTATTAACCCAAAAAATCATTTTTAAAACTTGCTGAAATTATTTGTTTTTATAAATGCAATTTTAAAACATATCATCCACATAAACATAGATTTAATGTATAATGTGATAAAGCTCAAAGGTATAATTATGGAGCAGCAAATGATAACATGTAGTATTTGAAGCAATATAGCTTCAAACTGTTTTATTTTCAATAAAACTGAATTGTTTTATTTTCAACATATTTGCACTCTGTTCACCCAGCCCTTTTCCAGTGTTAAATGTACTACAAATACAAATATTTCGAGTAAGTCTTGGCTTGTGGTATGCAGTTCATGAGTGATTATTGTTTTATTGTTGCTAGTTATTATTACTGTACTTGGTAATATAAATAACCAAAAGTTATTAATTATAAAGGCATACAGCATCAAATCCTTTATAATGCCAACCAAGATATGTTTTAGAACAAAATGTGAAATGATAGATATTATCTAATTAAGTGTAGAGGGAAGTACAGCTGGTAGAAGTCATTTAAAACACTTGAATTCATGAAATGCCATCTAAGAAGTAGCCCATTTTTAATAATAATTGATTTTCTTGAAGGGACATAATTAATGTTCTTGGTTTCAAAGGAATTCATTCAATTGAATGACCTTTCCTGATGATACTCCTTCATCAGACTTCTTGCAATTTTCTGCCTTCCCTTAAACAAGGTAGGAATTAACTCTTTGATGACCCTTTATCCTCAAGGCCCTCCTAATGAATGAATTTAGTAAAATTAATTCACACAACATTTTTACCCACCCAGGGAACCCTTCACAGTGGTCTTATGGAACCACTGACACAAGTCAAACAGTTGCAGTGGAATTTTGGTTAATGAAGGTGCTCCTTTTGACCTGGTAAAACCTTGAAGTGCTTTTCAACTTGATACAGGTGTAGACAGTATCCCTACAGATTACCTTCTAAGATTAACCTTTTACATGATCTTACTCATGAAGTTAATGCGTAGTTCATTGATATTGTGACTTACAGCAGAAAGTTGTGCCAGTGTCTACCATGTATCTCTCATATCTTCCATGTTGGAAAATAAATTTCGTAATGCATGTAAATTTTTTATACTGCATGTAAGAAAGGCTGTATTTTTTTTAAACCTCTTCCTAGTCCATGTTTATGTAATCAGCTTAATTAACCGATCCAAATTCTGGATATCTCTGCAGATAACTGCAGAACCACTTAGTCGGCCTAACTCTCATTTTGATATCTGTATGATTTATTGATTGTTCTTTGTTCCTAAGCAAGAGCATATTGTTTCCATTACAAGTCTTTTTAATAACCCAGATGAGAATCAGTTAAGCATCGAACCTCTACAGTGAGATTATACATTACTACTTTCAGTAGTTCGTGGCCATTCAAGTAACAAGCATCATCTTCTCAACTAGACTCAGTGGGAAAGTGAAAAATGTTTACAATGTAAAGTTTTATGGCTCATTGTCATATTGCAGAGGTGGTTTTTACATTTTTAGGCTTTTCTCTCCATAATTAGATTGAGATGTTATATAAACTTTCCAAAGGGAATGATACTGAAAAATAGATGTTAACACCAAGATCATTAAACTTTGGACTTTCATATCTTCTTTTGCACGTAGGTTTCTTCTTTCACTATCACTTATTTATTATGTCTTTCCAAATTCTGATTAAAAAAACCTCACTTCACATTTGAAAAGAATTAAAGTATGACCCAAGAAACAGATGGATTTTATAAGGGCTAGTTGAAGATTGTTTTGACATCACCTATTTCCTTCAGAGCATTTTTCTCAATCCTTTTAAGCTAAAAGACTACCTTGTAAATATCTTGGATATGTGTTATTAATGTTTTGAAAGAATCACTTCTCTCCAAGCAGTCTTAATTCTAGAGTTCTAAAACCCAGAAGAGAGAGTTATGCCTACACAATATTTTAGGTGTCGTGTGTTCCAGAATTCCTATGGTGAAAAATGTCAGTATTCCATCAGAGGGATGATGAATTGAGAAGTGCCTTCCCACTCTCTGTGGTTTCCATGGTACTGATTGTCAATGCCTTTTGTTGTAGGCAGAATACTTCTATGAATTCCTGTCCTTGCGCTCCTTGGATAAAGGCATCATGGCAGACCCAACCGTCAATGTCCCTCTTCTGGGAACAGTGCCTCACAAGGCGTCAGGTGGGTGGTCTTTGCCTCAGAGAAAGGTTTATGCTTAAAATATAATAGTGGTGGGAATACTATTTTAGATCCAGATGTCATCCATCAGAGAGATTACAGGATGTTTTCTTGAAGAGAGCTATTGATTTTAGGGCAAATCAGTTGTTATGTCCCAATTTCCTTTGGACAAAACATTAGGATAGGCATGAAGAAATGGAAGTTTTAGAATTTCCTAAAAATTCAGTTCATAAATGATTCCAGATTAAAAAAAGAAAGTCACCGTATGAAATATACTTGGCAACAAGTGCTAATTAATGTAATGCATATAAATGTGGCAAAGATGCAAATTAAGTGATTGAGAGGGAATGGGATAAATCAAGAAAAACTTCCCCTAAATGAACATTGTATTTAATAGGAATTTGAAGTAGAGAAGAGACATGCAAAGTGGTAGAAAAGGATTCAGTCTTTCAGATCTAATCATCCTTCTCTGCTTAGAAAGTACAGTATGCAGTTAGGTATTTAGAACTTTTCAGCTTACAAAGCACCAATTCATGCATTATCTAATTCACGTTCTGGGAGAGAGTCAAGGCTTGAATTACATCTCCATTTTACAAATTAGAAAATCTAGGCTTGTGAGGTTTAACTGACTTTCCCAAAGTCATATATTAGTAGTGAGTGGTGGAGCTGAAACTGGAGCCCAGGTTTTATGACTTTTAGAAAAATACAGAGATCTCTTATGTTAACATGTTGCAATATTTCCTTCTGCGTTAAGTCTATTTTTCTTACATAATTGTAGTAATGCTATATATTGTTTTTACATAATGTTTTTCTGGCTTTTAATATTTTAACATAAGCATTTTCCCATGTCATTGCAGATTTTTCCAAAAGTTGTTCTTAATGCCTTTATAATATTCTATTTTATGAACCTACCATAATTTATGTTTCCTTATTGTATGTTACTTAGATTGTTTTTAGGTTTTGTATACTAAAAACATCACAGTAACCATACTTTTTTTAAAGTAATAGATGGACAATACATCACGACTGTCAATACAAGGCCCTGCATAGAATGGGCATTCAGAAAATACTTGTTGGATTAATGTGTGTAGCAGAATCTTAAAGTTCATCTCATTATTTTGTTAAAATAGTTTCTTAGAGGTAAAATTATTGTGTCAAAAGATATGAACTTGAAGTTTTTTAAAGGCTCTTAGAACAAATTGCCAAAATCCCAAATTACTTTCCGCAAAGGTTGTACCCATTGGTACCTTGGCTAGCAGTGTGGCAGAGAGCCTGACTTATTGCAGTCTCATCAACATGGGTTATTAATCATGTTAGCTGTTTAGCTGACTTAAAAAGTGAAAAGTGGTTTCTCAATGTTCTTTTGATTTGATTTTTTAAATGCCTATTGAGGTAGGAGTCTATTTTCTTGTATCTGTTAGACAATGTAAAATGTCTGTGTGTTGTACTCATTTTTTGTGGTCCTTTTCATTAATTTGCAAAGCTCACTGTAAAATATTTGTTGATTGTAGTTTTTTTCAACTTATCATTTACGTTTTATTTTTTTTTTTGAGGAGGGTTTAAAATCCTGTGTGGTCAAAACTATCTTTCATTTGTGATGGACAGCATTCATTATTTGTAGTCTTTTTAACAATGGCCATTCTGACCAATGTGAGGTGGTATGTCATTTTAGTTTTGATTTGCGTTTCTCTAATAATTAGTGATACTGAGCATCTTTTCATGTACCTGTTGGCTGTCTGCATCTCTTCTTTGGAGAAATATCTGTTTGGATCTTCTGCCCATTTTCTGATTGGGTGCTTCGTTTTTTTGATATTGAGCTGTATGACCTGTTTGCATATTTTGGAGATTAGCCCCTTGTCAGTCACATCATTTGTGAATATTGTCTCCTAGTCCATAGGTTGCCCTTTCATTTTATGGTTTCCTCCCTATGGAGCTCATTTAAGATGATGAAACAGGAAATCAGTCACCCTTACAGAGTCCATTTTCAAGTTGTGATTATCTACTACTTCCAAATGTATCTGTGTTGACACATCCCAGCACTGTAAGAGTTGGGGACTAAATAAGCACAGAGTTTTTCTAATCTCCTGGCATAGGTGCCCATGTGAGTACAGATAGGAAGAGTGAATCTGAGTTTCTCGTGGGCCATCCCAATGCCACTGCTATGACTCACAGCCCTCTCAGAAGATTTGCTTCTGATCGAGATGGAAGCCCCCATGAAGGAAAAGGCCTTGGGTTCCGGAGATACACTTAACTGAGGTTTATAGCCCCAAGGATGTGAATATCCATTTCCAAATACAGGGACACCCCAATTCTGCTCAGATGATCGTGCTTGTACTATTGCATACTGCTGCATCATGGAGACAAGAAAGTTCTTAGAATATGACCACCAAAGTTCTTATAATATGACCACCAAATTCTTAGAATATTCAGTCTTGTGCCTTGTCAGTTGATGTTCTTTTTTGGTCAAAGATAATTTTCTATAAAATTTTTCTTGATATTTTTTGCTCTTTTAAGAAATGGTCAGGAATAAGAAGTATACAGCGTGTCTCTCAATTTTCATTTTATATTTTTGAATTTCTCTTTCATCGTTTTCTGTTATTAAAAAACTGCAAACTCATTTAACCCTTTGAAAATGCATTAATTAAATTAATTGCACAGTGACACCTGTTCAACTTAAAATTAATCTTGTATCTTTGGATTCTAATCAAATGCTTGTCTCCAAAATCTTCCCAGCTTTATTAATTTTTTGTGTCTGGTGAGGGAAAAAAAGCTTACTGAAAATCTACTTCTTGGGATGTTGAAACTGTAAGGTTTTGAATATACAATATATTTCAATTGGTTCCATTTAGAGAAAACATCATTTACTAATAATTTAGAATCTTTATAAATCAAATGTAGAGGGGAAAGTGGATGATGCATTAGACAAGGTAAGACTAAAAAGAACAAACCTTCTGGGATGAGGTGACTCATGCATGTGTCTGCATACGCACACACATACACCCTCCTCTCCTACCACATAGGTTTTTGGAAGCAGATGTAGGACTTGTTTGCAGAAATGCAGGTGCAGGAAGTTTATGGGAATTTTGGTCTATGGCAGGGCAGTTATTCATTGCCTCATTAAGCTCAGTACCCCCAGCCTGAGCCATGAGGGTAACTTGAATTATTAAAAAGTAATCAAATCAGTGTGTCTTGCTCCTAAGCATCCAGGTAGCATTTGTTACTCCGCTGGCCTATTTAATATCCTCAAGCTGCTAAGGTGTTCTTTTATCCTGCAGACTCCTATGTGCCTAAGCATTGCATGAAATAGAAAACTCTTGATCTTTAACAGTTAGGAAGTGCCTGGCTTCTGGCATCAGAAGGGAACAAAAACAGGAAATACAAACTGCAGGGTGGTTCAATAAAATGCCTGAGTTGGATAACAAAAAACATTTTCCATCAAGCCAAGGCTTGGCCTGTTGGAACACTCTGTCTCTGTCATCCCATGAAACCAAGGCAGCAGGAATGTTTCTCAACCAAGACCATCAGAAATCCAATGTGTAGGAATTGTCAAATAGGTGTTCACACTGGGCGGACCATCTTCTTCTCGGTGACCCCCGTTCTGAGCAGAAAGTGAGGCCCAGAGTAGCTGCTCAGTAAGTATTGCGGGGAGAATGAATGGTGGTCAGCACAGCGTGGAGCATGGATGACTACTTGTGTGGAATGCCTTATATTCATGGAGCAGCATATAATCATGTGATATGGAGGATGAGCTCTGGCCTAGCCTGCCTTTCTCATTTCTTCCTTTGTTGGGAGGCAGTGGCTTGCGTGCCCAAGGCTGAGATTGTGTGAGCACTGCTGGTCTCAGTGTAGAGAGCTATTTAATCACAATGAGTTTCTTGTTTACGTCTATAGAAGAGTTAGTTTATGTGCAGTTGGTGGCACATCAGAGTGTCCTTGAATGCCATGTGAGTTATGTTCAATCTACTTGAATTTTTCTGAGTTGTTGTAATCTACCCTGGTCTCGATTATACAACCTTGATGGCACTGGAATTCACAACATCTGGCCTCATTTGCATCTAGCTTTAGGTAAAAGTGGCTCTCTACTCATAGGCTTATTGCTGCAAAAGCACATGGTGACTTTCACGTTTCTGTTATTCCTTGGAAATAGAGAGCCTGTGCTTGTTTGTCCCTTTGAGGTCTTTTTCTTTATGCATGTGTTTTTTCTGAGTGCACATTGTTTATATTTTCCTGTCTCCCACTGCCTAAGGGGTATTTCTGTCTCTTTCTGTGTATGTGCGCAGGTGTGCACATGTATATGTGCAAGTGTGTGTCTGTGTGTATAAAGGTATATGGATGTGTGTCTCCCATAAGGTATATCTTTGTTACTGTCAGTGCCTAGCTTGTGACAATGTAGTAGGTGCTGAGGTTATAGAAACACATACCATAGGGTCCTTCCCTTTGAAAATCACATTCTTAGCAAAAGATTTGTTGTTTGCTGTTGTTTAGTGGCTCAGTCTGACTTGTTTGTGACCCCATGGACTGTAGCTCACCAGGCTTCTCTGTCCATGGGATTTCCCAGGCAAGAATTCTGGAGTGGGTTGCCATTTCCTTCTCCAGGGGATCTTCCTGATCTAGGGATCAAACCTGCGTCTCCTGCATTGGCGGGTGGATTCTTTACTACTGAGACACCTGGGAAGCCTAGGAAAAGATGCAGAATCATAATCATCTCATTAGATTATAATGCAACTGTATACAGAGGTGTATGTGAAATGATGCCATTGGGGGTGTCAGGGAAACCAACAGAGAACGAGTGCTGTTTAATTTGGGTCTTGAGAGGTGAGTGGGAGAACTCTGGACAGAAAAGAGGAGAAAGAACATTCCAGGAAGCAGGAGGGGTGTGCAGAGTCAGGCGCTGCGGACATGCACCACGTGTTTGGGAACTGACAGAAATCTATTTTGAGCTGAGCACAGGTTATATACACGTCGGTGAAAATGAGGCTAACTAAAGTCAGGTTTTGTTTTTCTAAGCAAAATTCTTTGAAATATGTTTAAAAAGGTGTTAAATTATAATTCGTATTACCTGAACAGTTTTACAGATAAAATTTATAAACAGAAAACAGGACAAGTAGAATTTGCAGAAAAGGAATAAAATCTCTATTTTACATTTCAAAACTGAAAAGTGGGCAAGTGTAATTAGTGTAATTTATACAACTTTCATTAATTTCTACTTTTACTTTAAAAGTGAATTTATTGAAACTCATAAACTATGTACCTCCTAACTTCTGAACTTTATTTCTTAGTTCCTTTCAAATCATTCTGTACTGAGGTCAACATAACAGTTATGTTTACATGCCTCCTATATCAAAAGAGGTGAATATACATGGGAAAATATTTTTACCTAGGGTGAGAGGATTTTTCATCTGTTCATCTTTCACTGGAAGTTGAATTTGTCAGGTCGAAACTACAATATATAAGTAAAATAAGCACAATTTTAAACCTAGAGTTTATTAGACCTTTACATGATGAAGATAGAAAATACTTCCTGTTATATTAATGTTCATTGAGTATAATCTTAGATTGGTAAAAAATTCTTTTCTATTGATTTACTCAGAAGATGAAGATGTCACATCTTTAGTTTTCTGCCAAGATTGCCTCAAGTTTTACTATTCAAAAAGATAAAAGACTTTATTTTCCTCTGTTTGCATTTGGCATAATTTTGCAGAACTATGCTATATGTGTGAGTTTTTTTAATGACTTTTTAAAATGAAAGACATGTTTGATGGTGAACAGTAACATTGCAGTTTTAACCTTTCAAATGACAGGTCTTTCCACACCAAAAAAAAAAGATTTTTTAAACTACTTTAGTAGTAGTATTATTGATCGTATGGCAAAAGGAGGAGACTGAGGCCTGAGAAGTTTAACTAGACCGTGTGATCCACCCAAATCAATGGATCACAGCAAGTGCAGTTCCCCACCTGATCCTGTTTTAAGCATTAGACAATATGCTCCGCAGACATTTATGCATCTGTTGTGAAGTTACAATACAGGCAAATTGAACTTAGGTTATAAAAATTGAGACCCAAAGACTCCAATAGTTGCAGACTCAAACATTAAGCTACTTTGAATTCTAACTGGTCTGTAGCTTTAAACATGTGTCAATGTTTGCTTTATTTTTCTAGATGTTTTAAATGATTAAAATATTGCACTCTTGCAAAATATCTCCAAAATAAATCACTGAGACCTCAGTGCCACAAAAGCCTGGGGTTTTTAATCTTGTTTGCTAAAGCAGCCCCCTGCTTAGAACGCTGTCACATGGTAACATCAGGAAGTATTGACTGAATGGATGAACCCTTTGTGTGTGCTCAGTTATGTCCAGCTCTGCCGTTTCCTACTCCAGGGGATCTTCCTGACCCAGGGATCGAGCCTGAGTCTCTTGCTTCTTCTGCATTGGCAGGCAAATTCTTTACCACTAGTGCTACCTGAAAACTGTTTTTATTTTGACTCAAATTCATATTTATCCATTTAAAGGGAAAAATTCATCTTGAAAATTCTGAAGAAGTTACTTATGGCATGTTTTCTTTCTGTTGGACTTTATATCCTCATTTTTCTTCCCTGGGATTGCTCAGAGCCATATTGTTTAGGTGGGACTATTTGTGGCTCAGACAGTAAAGGATCTGCCTGCAATGCAGGAGACCGGGGTTCTATCCCTGGGTCAGGAAGGTCCCCTGCAGAAGAGAATGGCTACCCACTCCAGTATTTTTGCCTGGAGAATTCCATGGACAGAGGTGCCTGGTGGGCTATGACACTCACTCATATTGTTTAGGGCCAGGGAACTCTGTGCATCTTGGTACTTACATTGAACTTAGAGGCTATGTTAACTAATCACACATTTACATGAGAACATTCCAAATTGTCTAGAAGACCCCCTGATGACTTGAGCATGTGGACATGTATTCATAACTTAGATTTGTAAATGGTTTGTTTTTAGCACATATGAAAATATGAACAAACTAGTAATTATTCTTAACTGAATTTCCCATACATATTATAAGACATGTTCTGATATTTGATATCTAAGATATGTTTTGCAACTTAACAATGCTGATAAACAGAAATGAAGATGAGTTTGCATACAAGGATCTTCTCTTCCATACCAAGATTTTGAAAGCGAAAAAAACTCTGAAGTGCCTTGAAGAGAATTAGGTGGGCTACAAAGTAAAGGCTCAGTAAGGTCCAAGAAAAAGATAAATCTGAACAGTGTGGTAAAGCAGATTCTGAAAGTTCTGTCTTTTAGTTTCTTCCATGTTTTTATGCCTCAGGGCAATTACTGGCCTACCCATCTGTTCAAGAGTCATGAGAAAAACACTTTATATCTGAACAAAGTGAAAATGCATTGTAGAGTTAACAATTGAAAGAAATTACCTATCAGCTCCTTCACCTTCTTTTGAAATGGAAATCCCTACAATGGATTTTAGTGTTTTGTAAACTTACATTTTCATATATAAGATTTCATTCAACCAAGGTTTTCCATGGGGACATTTTTACTTTGGAACTTCAAAAACAATTTTTGTTTTTCCTCTCTTTTTAGTTCTGTTAAACTGTTTTTTTTTTCCCCCCACCATTTAATTGATTATTTGCAATGGTCAGATCTCAAGATTCAGGAAAGAAATTCATGTTATTTGGAGAAGGGCACAGTAACGAACACTGACAATGCCAAAGCCTTGAGAGTAGGTTTTCAGTTGCCAAGCATGTTAAGAAGATTTTATGACCAGCTGGTGTGCAGTGCCTTATGGAAGAGAGAAGATCAGTTTCTAGCTCATTTCTTCTTATAAACCTAGGGAGAAGCTTTATAAAAACTCTTAAGGGAAAGAATTTTTCTTGGTGTGGGATGATTTTCCCAGGCTTGGCAATAACCATAACCTACCACACAGAAACAAAATGAAGCAGAATTTCATATGTATGTCCCTTAGTAATATTTCTCCTATTCATAAGGAAGAACTGGAATCCAGTGGATCAGCTAGATCAGTTTCCCCCAGTGGACATGTGATGGTAATCCCGTGGATTTCAGAAATGTTATGTAGTCAGCCTCTCAGCCATGGCGCGAGCCAGTTTCTGCCCGATGACTTGTGGGTACTTCACGCAGGTGGCCCCCCGCCGCCTCTCTACAGCACCGGCATTAGTTCCCACTCTGCAGAGTCACACCCAGATCCCCAAGTGATCGTCCGTCTCACTGAAAAGAAGTAGCTCCTATTCCGGAACCTAAACCATTAGATATGCGTCTATTGTGAGATTATTTCACCACAGCGAACTCTTCTAAATCCCTGAGATGTGAACACTTCTTAATACTGACCAAGAGCCTGAGGAAATACTAACTTCATTAACTCGGTCCAAAATGACTAGGGTCTAAGTCATTAGACTTAGAGAGTAAAAGTAAACCAGTGGGGTGTTGCTTATAGAGCTTTATTTAATGCCTTCTGGAATGTTGATTTTTAGCTCTTTTTGAATTATGTGGAGGCTGGTAAAGATGCTCACCAAGTTTCTTTTCCTAATTAATTAACTAATTAATCTAAGCTACCTATTTGCACCTTTTCAGAGAAAATTTTACCATCTTTTTTTCAAGATGGTACATGTTCAGACTATGAACAGATTATCCTCAGTTTTATATTAATCTTCCCTGGCGGCTCAGACAGTAAAGCATCTGCCTGCAATGCGGGAAACCCAGGTTCAATCCCTGGGTCGGGAAGATCCCCTGGAGAAGGAAATGGCCACCCACTCCAGTATTCTTGCCTGGAAAATCCCATGGACGGAGAAGCCTGGTAGACTACAGTCCATACACTTTTATATTAGTAGGGTACAAATTAATGAGGGTCATTAATTCTTTCTCTACCCAGCACGATGTACATGTTCTGGGGAGAATGCCCAGATAATCAAAATATAGCCCTTACTTTAGTGGAGATACAAGAATGTCAAATAGTGGAATGTGAATATTTTTGTTTTGTTCTTTGCTCTCTTACTGAAGTGTCTATAAAACTGGAATCAACTAGATAAGCTGTTTCTCCATACTTCCTTTTTCTTTAGTTGTTCAAGTTGGTTTCCCCTGTCTCGGCAAACAAGATGGAGTGGCAGCATTTGAAGTGAATGTGATTGTCATGAATTCTGAAGGCAACACCATCCTGCAGACACCTCAAAATGCCATCTTCTTTAAAACATGTCAACAAGGTAATCAGTGACGGTGATTCTAGAGAAGACATAAAACTTCCAGGTGTGATTTGGACAAAAAATTGTAGCTAGCTAGCTAATTATTTTGTATAATTATAACCACACCAGTGGGAGGGGGGACTGCTAAGTGCAGGGTCCAGGAATAGTACTAAGATAGACTTGCTCTACTTTGACCCCACTCACAATTTTAGGGACGCCAGTACCCTTCAAAATGCTCTGTCTTCCACCTCTTTATCTCCCTCTTCCAGTATAGTCTTTGGGAGTCCTCATCCTCATAGCAAGGTCACCAGTCATCACCAGCAACTACCACTACCCATACCCGCTGCCAAACGCTTGATCCTTCTGACTTTCATGGAAAACAGGTCGCTGCCATCTCACCAGCGATCTCTGCCAGGCAAAGTCACCTCCCACCACAGCCTGGGGAACCAGGGAAAGGGAAGGCCTGTCCCCTTCCCTGTTCTGATGTAAGCTCTTCCAGCACAGAATTTTAGCTCTGGAGGCTTTTGGTGCCCTAGAGATGTACCAAAAGGTCATTACCCCCTCTGAAAATGAATATGGAGGGCAATATCTATCCTTCTGTCTCAGTGTGAATTGAAGGTCCAGTGCGGTAAATTGATAGGTGAGATGAAGGAAGAACATAAAGCTTGCTTTGCCTTCTTCCATGAGCCCCTTACTGTCAAAAGTAGGATTGAGAGAAGCAAAGTCTTACTTTCCTGAAACCTTAAGAAAGTACAAGTGATGTAGAGAGAATGAAGTGGAAATATTGGTATTCAATAAATTACAGTCGGTGTGCTGGGGAAAATGTGACGGCTCACCTCTTCATGCTCCCCGTAATTCACTCAATATGTTTTGAAAAGTGTCTATATAAAGCTTGTTTCTCTTTGGTGAAGCTGAGTGCCCCGGAGGATGCCGAAATGGAGGCTTTTGTAATGAAAGGCGGGTCTGCGAATGCCCTGACGGGTTCTACGGCCCTCACTGTGAGAAAGGTAAAGAACACGGACAGCCGGCTCCCCTGGCTTGCTCCATAGTGAGATGGGTGTCACACAGGCGCCCCGCACGCATTTTTAGCACATCCCCTGAAAGTGTCTTTCTGGTCACATTATATGGATTCTTGCAGTCTTAAAAAGCCACAGGAAAGCTATTGGAAAGTGTTTCTCCTAGAAGTGGTTTTCTGTTAAATCAATATGTGGTGGCAGGCGCAGAAAGCGGACACAATGTCTTCATTCTCTGTGGCCGCTTTTACTCTCCTCCACGCCCCCACCCGGGTTCACTATTATATACACTCTGCTTTGGCATAATCTTACAGACGTTTTGAGTTTTTCTCCCTCCACTAAAATTGGTTTTTAAAAGAGTATTGTGACCAATTTGAAAGTATCTACTCCAATTAAAAGTAGCTCAAGTCACAGTTAAGTCTACACCTGAGTTATGAAGGTGCTCTAGGCAAAAAAGGGAGGATGAAGATCATTTGTGTAGTAAATATATCTGTTCCGGTGAAATTACTACTAAGAAAGTTATACGAAAAAAAGAGATGAACATGAAAATGTTTATTAATCACACGACTGGATGCATGTTTAGTCTTTCAGTTGTGTCCAACTCTCAACCACAAAGGTATATAAACCACAAGCTCACATATACTGAGCTTATTTAACAAGAATAAGCAAAGTATTTTTCATCTTCAAAAAAATAAGAATTTTTCTTGTTTGCGTTGATTTTTTTCTTTATTTTTGGATTGAAGTATTTGATTTACAATGTTGTTAGCTTCAAGTATACAGCAAGATGATTCCGTTATTCACACATATATATCTATTTTTTCAGGTTCTTTTCCCTTATGTGCTATTACAAAATACTAAATATAGTTTCCTAAGCTACAGTAGGTCCTTGTTGATATCTGTTCTATATATCGTGGTATAAATATATAAATTCCAAACTCCAAATTTATCCCTCTCTAGGCCTCCTTTCCCCTTTGGTAACCATAAGTTTGCTCTCTATGTCTATAGGTCTGTTTCTTCTTTGCATATAAGTTCATTTGTATCATGTTTTTAGATTCCACATGATAAGCCATGCCATATGATATTTGTCTTTCCCTTCCTTACTTCACTTAGGATGATAATCTCTAAGTCCATCCATTTTGCTGCAAATGGCATTATTTTATTCTTTTATGCCTGAGTATTATTCCACTGTGTGTGTATGCATACCATGTCTTTATCCATGCATCTGTCAGTGTACATTTAAGTTACTTCCATGTCTTGGCTATTATATATAGTGCTGCAATGGACACTGGGGTGCATGTATATTTTCAAATTCTGGTTTTCTCTGGATATATGCCTAGGAGTGGGATTGCAGGATCATATGGTAACTCTATTTTCAGTTTTTTGGGAACCTCCATACTGTTCTCATAGTGACTGCACCAATTTACATTCCCACCAATAGCATAGGAGGGTTCCTCTTTCTCCACACCCTCTCCAACATTTATTATTTGTAGAATTTTTGATGATGGCCAGTTTGATCAGTGTGAGGTGATATCTCTTTGTAGCTTTGATTTGCATTTCTCTAATAATTAGTGATATTGAGCATCTTTTCATGTGCCTGTTAGTCCTCTATCTCTTCTTTGGAAAAATGTCTATTTAGAACTTCTGCTCATTTTTTGATTAGGTTGTTTGTTCTTTTGATATTGAACTGTATGAGCTGTTTGTACACTTCAAAAATTAATCCCTTGGTGGTGACATCATTTGCAAATATTTTTTGCCTTTCTGCAGCTTGTCTTCTCATTTTGTTTATGGTTACCTTTACTGTACAAAAGCCTTTAAGTTTAATTAGGTCATATTTGGTTTTGTTTTTATTTCCATTACTCTAGGGGATGAATCCCAAAAGATATTGCTGCAAATGTCAAAGAGTGTTCTGCCTATGTTTTCCTTTAAGAGTATTATCGTATCTGGTCTCATCTTTAGGTCTTTAATCCATTTTGAGTTTTATGTTTGTGTGTGTGTATGGTGTTAGGCAATGTTCTAATTTCATCTTCTACACGGAGCTGTCCACTTTTCTCAGCACCACTTATTGAAGAGATCATCTTCTTTACATTGCATGGACTTGCCTCCTTTGTCACAGATGAATTGACCATAGGTGTGCATAGGTTTATTTCTGGACTTCCTATCATGTTCCATTGATCTCTGTGCCTGGTTTTATGCAAGTGCCATACTATTTTGATGATTGTAGCCTTGTAGTATAATCTGAAGTCAGGGAGTCTGATTCCTCCAGCTTTGTTTTTCTTTCTCAAGATTACTTTGGCCGTTCCAGGGGTCTTTTGTGTTTCCATACAAATTAAAAAATTTTTGTCCTAGTTCTATGAAAAATGCCATTTGTATGGATTGATAGGGATTACAGTGAATTTGTAGACTGCCTTGGGTAATATGGTCATTTTAACAATATTGTTTCTTCCAGTTTGAGAAGATGGTATATCTTTCCATCTGATTGTATCGTCTTCAATTTTTTTTTATCAGTGTCTTACAGTTTTTTGAGTATAGATCTTTTGTCTTCTCAGATAGGTTTCTTCTTAGGCATTTTATTCTTTTTGATGTGATGGTAAGTGGGATTGTTTCCATGGTGTCCCAAAGCTGGTGTTGGCCTGCTAGTTGCAGGTCTGGGGCCCAGTTGGTCCCAGGGTAGGGTCTGGCCTGTTGTGGGTGGGCTAGGTCCTCAGACTGAGGGGTTGTGATTTTCCTGCATCTGGTATCTGCCTCTCAATGGGTGAGGCTGGTCTAGAGGCTTATGTAAGCTTTCTGTGGGGAGGTGCCTTGTGAGTGAAGCTGGGTCTTGGCCCTTTGGTGGGGAGGGCCATGTCAAGGGGTGTCTCTGGTGGTGGTTGATGCTGGGAAAGATTGAGGGCAAGAGGAGAAGCGAGCAACAGAGGATGAGATGGTTGGATGGCATCATTGACGTGGACATGAGTTTAAACAATCGTGAAGGACAGGGAAGCCTGCTGTGCTGCAGTCCAAGGAGTCGCAAAGAGTCAGACATGACTTAGTGACTGAACAAGAAGAGGTGACTGTGGGCTCACGAAGTCTTTAAGTAGCCTGTCTGCTGATGAGTAGGCTGTGTTCCTACCCTGTTTATTGTTTGGCCTAAGGTGTACAAGCAATGGAGCCTATAGACTGTTGGGTGGGTTCGGGTCTTGGTGCCAAAATGTTGGCCTGGCCTCCAAGAGAGCTCATGCCAGTGAAAATTGCCTGAATCTTCTGACCAGTGTCCTTGTCCCCAGAGTGAGCCACACCTTCCCCCTGCCTCTCCTGGAGACCCTCCAAGACTAGGTAGGTCTAGCCCAGGCTCCTATAAAGTCACTACTTTTGCCCTGGGTCTTGGTAACACAAGACCTTGGTATGCCCTCCAAGAGTGGAGTCTCTGCTTCCCGCAGTCCAGCGGGGCTCCTGCACTCAAGTCCTGCACTCAATGCCAGACCCCCAGCCTGGGGAGCCTGATGTGGGACTCAGAACTCTCACTCCTGTGGGAGAACTTCTGCAACTCTTCTCAGTCTGCAGGTCACCCACCCAGAGGATGTGGGATTTGATTGTGTAGAGGGTGTGCCCCTCCTACTCTCCTGTTGTGGTTCTTTCTTTATGTCTTTGAATGTAGAATATCTTTTTTGGTAGGTTCCAGTGTTTTTTTTCCCTCAATCATAGTTTAGCAGTTGTGATTTTGGTGTTCTCATGAGAGGAGGTGAGCTTAAGGTCCTTCTATTCCACCATCTTGTTCTGATCTCCATCTGGACTGATTTTGAAATTGAAAGATTGAGGAAATAAGGCAGAAAAAGAAGAACACATCTTACTTAAATTAACTAATGATTCTGGGCAAATTTTAATCAGCCATTCAAATGGAACAATTCCAAAATTCTCTTCTATGAAATTGGTTTAAAAAACAACCTTATGTACTGCACAAAAATAATTTTAATATAGCAAACTTCTGTCTTTACAGAGCAACCACTTTAGCAACCCCAAAGCTCGAAAATGTAGACCTGTTATATTATCGACATTTCCAAAATGGTCCTGTTTGTGAAACCCTATTGGCCTTAATTAGAATTCTCTCTCCATTTAGTCCTCTGCGCACCACGATGCATGAATGGCGGGCTCTGTGTTACTCCTGGTTTCTGCATCTGTCCACCTGGGTTCTATGGAGTCAATTGTGATAAAGGTAACTTCTTAAGAACAAGGTTCTTTTTTTTTTTTTTAACTGGAGGATAATTGCTTTATAATCTTGTGTTGGTTTCTGCAGTACAACCAGGTAAATCAGCCTTAAGGACACATTTGTCCCCTCCCCCTGAACCTCCTTCCCACCGCTCTAGGTCATCAGAGAGCACTTGTTTGCGCTCCCTATGTTATAGGGCAACTTCCCACTAGCTATCTGTTTTACATATGGTAATATATATGTTTCAATTAAAAGAAGTATATTTACTACATCATCACTCTTCATAACAGCTTTATAAATAGGGTGTATCACTTTGCTGGTTGCTTTAACATTAACCGTAAATTTTAGTGTAGCTTAACACAGTACAGGTTTCCATTCACTCACAGAATGCTCCAGTGCAGGAACCTGATCAGTGGGCAGGGCAGTTCTCCATACTATGACTTGGGGACCCAGGCACCTTCCATCTATGATCCTGCTGAGAGCTTTGGAGCTCTCTGGTTCCAGACAATAAACAGAAAAAGACTGGAATAGGCGCCGCTTAAAAAAAGAAAAAAAAAAGCCCAAAAATGATGCACAAAACTTTCAACACACATTCCATGGATAGGAATTAGCCTGATGACCTACCTGGATGCAAGCAGGAGAAATGTCATTCCTGGTTGGACAGCTGTCTCCCTTTAGGCGAGGGGAGCGTGAAGTTTCATGAACAGTTAGCTACTCCTGACCCATTGCTGACTTTGTATGTCCCAAATCAGTTTTATGGGTGAGCTTCAAAGACTGAAATAAAACAATCTTTTCCGAATTGCCTGACCTAGAAGTTCACTGATCACCCATTTAATTCTCTGCTCACAGATCACATCCCTGAGAGCTCGGGTCCCTCCTTCCTATGAAGCAGCAGCATAGCCAGATTTTACTCTCAGAAAGTAGATTCAAACATGGCTCTAGAGTAGAATAGTGTAATTCATACTCTTGCAAGACACCTATCTACTTTGCCTGGTTCACGTCTTTTATGGAAAAAAAATTAACATCTGTAAAGTGTATGATGGAAAAATTAACATCCTTAAAGTGTATGTATTTAATGAAATTATCCTTTTGTCAAAAATGCTAATTGTGTCAGTTGTTGTTATTGTTTAGTTGCTCAGTTGTGTCCAACTCTTTTGCAACCCCGTGGACTGCAGCCCACCAGGCTCCTCTGTCCATGAGATTCTCCAGGCAAGAATGTTGGAGTGGGTTGCCATTTCCTCCTCCAGGGGATCTTCCTGACCCAGGGACTGACTCACATCTCCCGTGTTGTTTTGTATGTCCCAAATCAGTTTTATGGGTGAGCTTCAAAGACTGAAATAAAACAATCTTTTCCGAATTGCCTGACCTAGAAGTTCACTGATCACCCATTTAATTCTCTGCTCACAGGTCACATCCCTGAGAGCTCGGGTCCCTCCTTCCTATGAAGCAGCAGCATAGCCAGATTTTACTCTCAGAAAGTAGATTCAAACATGGCTCTAGAGTAGAATAGTGTAATTCATACTCTTGCAAGACACCTATCTACTTTGCCTGGTTCACGTCTTTTATGGAAAAAAAATTAACATCTGTAAAGTGTATGATGGAAAAATTAACATCCTTAAAGTGTATGTATTTAGTGAAATTATCCTTTTGTCAAAAATGCTAATTGTGTCAGTTGTTGTTATTGTTTAGTTGCTCAGTTGTGTCCGACTCTTTTGCAACCCCGTGGACTGCAGCCCACCAGGCTCCTCTGTCCATGAGATTCTCCAGGCAAGAATGTTGGAGTGGGTTGCCATTTCCTCCTCCAGGGGATCTTCCTGACCCAGGGACTGACTCACATCTCCCGTGTTGGCAGCCGGGTTCTTTACCACTGAGTCACCAGAAAAGCCAATTGCATGAGTAGGGCGCTATTTTCTAAAATAAATGTTGGATTGGCCAAAATAAAATGATGTGCTTAATTTTGAGAAGTGTCTCTTTAGTGATAATACAGATAGCACCAATTAAGATGGAAATGAGCAGCTTTTTTAAAATGAAAGAAAAGCTAAAGGAAAGAGCCCTTAGCATGAGTCAGAATAATCATTTATGGCTGTCTGTTATTTTGTGATATGCAAAGTACCTTCATACAATTACCTGACTTTAGTTCTAACAGTCTTTTTAGATATGTAAATAATTATTCATCATAGTCCCAGATAAGTAAAATAAAGTTCATAGACCTTGAGTAGCTTGACCCAAACTCACGCCCTCCAGTGTACCATGTTGCCACTCGGGCTTCCTGTTTCAGAACCCGGCTCCTCTACAAGTGACTCTGCGTAGAGAAACCAATCTCTGTGGGCCATGCTTTTCCCAACTGTAAATGGGAATTAAGCCATGACCCCTGGTCCCCCATCTCTAAACTAACTGAGAGCACATGTTCACATCTCTACCTTTTATCTGTAGGTGGTCTTTGAAAACTACAGCATTGGAATGAAAACAGTTTTAAAATTTGATATTCATAAAGATTAATCACTAATGGCACTGATAATAATAGCCAGTGAGTAAAATTCTTTCTTGTGCAGTTTCTTTTCATTTGTCTAAATTTAGCATTCAGCCCTTCAGAATTGAGCAGAATTTAATTTTAGAAGCAGAATTAAATTCATATTATCTCAAATTTATTAGGCAATAGAGCCAATCCTTCAGAAATCTGGATGAAGAACGAATGTACTATCAGATTTTAAAAGACCATTTGTGAGGCTTATTATTGGTGTAGTGCGCACAGACTGACTGTCAAATGTAATGTCTTTCTTATGCCAGGGTGTCTCAACACTGCATGGTCCTGTGAAGGAAAATATCTCTGTGTATTCCAGTTCCTTTTACATTTGTAATATTTTACCTTTCAGATGAAACGTTTTCCTTCTTGTTAGACTACAGTAACTTTTTCTTATTCTTTTGGAAAGTCTGTTGAAATTCCACTTGGTCTCACTGGAGATCTGGGAACATTAAAAGAAATAATGTTTTTTTATTATCTCAATCAAAAGATGCATTTATTATCCAGGAGGGAGTATAAAGCTTCTGAAAAATGGTTTAATTACTGGCATGGAACGAGACCTTAGCACTACATATTCAAAGAAACACTAACGATTAACTTTCATTGGCTCTTGGGCCATCTGTTGTAACCGATAACAGTTGAGTGGTTAAACACTGGCCCAGCAAACCTTCAGCCCCAGTGAAAGTCTTCTGGTGTCTCTGGCTCATTTTCTTAGTCAAGAATCATCGCACAACAGAGATGGAGAGAAGCTCCAGTATTATGCAAATATTAAGGGTGTGGCCAGATTCAATAATCAGTTTGACACATTTGTGATGTTTGTCACATTCTGTAACTTTTAATTAAACTCCTAGGTTCACTGCATTCTACATGTTAGTAGGGATAGTGTCCAGGGAGATCCAGCCAAGTGGACACAGATCCTGATGTTTTCTCATCTCCTATTGTCCCCAGGAGAAACAGGGACAAGTGGGTAGATAGGACATGCTCACAAAAACAACTGTCCTATGCTCGCTTTGGCAATACACATGATAAAACTGGAATAGTACAGAGAAGATTAGCATGGCCCCTGTGTAAGGATGACAGGCAAATTCGTGGAACATTCCATTAAAAAAAAAAAAGATCCAGCCCTAATGTTAGTTTCAGTGGCTCAGATGGTAGTTGCCTGCAATGAGGAGACCTGGGTTCGATCCCTGGGTGGGGAAGATACCCTGGAGAAGGGTGGGAATGGCTACCCACTCCAGTATTCATGCCTGGAGAATTCCGTGACAGAGGAGGCTGGTGAGCTACAGCCTATGCGGTTGCGAAGTTAGACAGGACTGAGCAACACTTCACTTTCAACAATATTAGCAGCAAGTAACAAAGAGGAATCTCAAAAAAATGATTTTCCTAAATNTCATGCCTGGAGAATTCCGTGACAGAGGAGGCTGGTGAGCTACAGCCTATGCGGTTGCGAAGTTAGACAGGACTGAGCAACACTTCACTTTCAACAATATTAGCAGCAAGTAACAAAGAGGAATCTCAAAAAAATGATTTTCCTAAATTCTGTCCTCTGGTGCTGCTGTTACCCTCTATGACGGGAAGCTTGATTTTGCCAAGGCAAGTACAGCATGGCCTTAAACTAGGAGATGCTTACGATTTTTAACAAAAGCTTTATCATTTAGGAAACATGATATTCCTAGAATATTTTCGTTGGATTTCATTTCCACAAAGAAAGCACACACTTAGAACTTTTGGAAATCCTTTCTGATTTTCTTCCTGGATGCTTATTCCAGCTTTCATTCACCTACAGCCAATTTTGGCCTGTTTTATATAGGCCAAGAACAAATAGGCCATAAAACTGGAATAGCTGAGTTCTTATTTTCATCTCCTTTATAGAATGAGCCAACTTGTCTATTTTTAGATACTTGCTCTCCCCCATTCTCATTTCTGTCCTCCCTCTATTTTAGGTGCCAGTGAGCAGTGAAACTCCAGAAGCTGACTCTAATAAGGAGGGTTTAGGATGAATTACCAGCAGTATGATTATCACCTGGAAAATCTAGTTTATTGGACTCCCACAGTCACATACCCACTTTCTTCATCCCTCCACCTCATGCTGCTGCACTTCCCTGCCTACAGGATCTCATAAAGGGGAATAGGCTGCCCTTTCCTGAAATATAGTTACTCTTTCTTGCAAACGTCATAAAAACTTATTTTTTCAAAAATTTCTGTTATAGACGATGCATCTCTGTTCTTAATCAGGAAAAAAGTTGCTTTCTCCTTTGTCCAATCCTAATATTTATGACTTCTCTCCCTTTTATCTGTTCTGAAGAAGGTTTTCTCCTTTTACTCTTCATTCATCTTAAATATTTTCTTAGGTTTATAGCATTCTTCTCCTTTTAAGAGCATAGATATTTACAATAAAATTAAAAAGATATTTGTTTTTACCCACTGTTGCCATTTCCCAACCAGACAGAGCCTAGAGGCAAACCCCTAGAGGTGGGTCTGGTGTCATGTGTGTGGTATCCTGTTATGTTGCCTGAATCTGCAAATGGTCAAGCAATTGATTACCACTGCTGTCTGGGTAATATGGCTTATTTTATTAAATAAGTAAATGGGCAAGTAGCAGATGCCTAAGAAGTATCACTTAGCCTTGATGAAATGTTGTTAGATTTAAGTGACGATCTAATGCGATACCCTGTTATTCATTCTAACAGCAAATTGCTCAGCCACCTGCTTTAATGGAGGGACCTGTTTCTACCCTGGAAAGTGTATTTGCCCTCCAGGACTAGAGGGAGAACAGTGTGAAATAAGTGAGTACTGACCTGCAATATCTTTGTTTGGGGTAGGGAACCTTAGAAGCACCATCTAAGCCCTTCATTTTATTGATGAGGAACCTGAAGCCCTGAGACAATGAATAGCTTGCCTAAGGTCTCAGGCCAGTGGTTTCTTTTCACTAGATTGAGCCTCCATCCATGTCGGCTAACGGTGGGGTGGAGGAGGGACATAGACCAGCTCAGGAGGCCAGTGGTTTCTTTTTACTAGATTGAGCCGCCATCCATGTCGGCTAACGGTGGGGTGGAGGAGGGACATAGACCAGCTCAGGAGGCCAGTGGCTTCTTTTCACTAGATTGAGCCTCCATCCATGTCGGCTAACGGTGGGGTGGAGGAGGGACATAGACCAGCTCAGGAGGCCAGTGGCTTCTTTTCACTAGATTCAGCCTCCATCCATGTCGGCTGACGGTGGGTGGAGGAGGGACATAGACCAGCTCAGATGACTCAGACACTGACTCGGTTATGTCTGGTTTTGCACTGTTCTCCAGGTTGCACTGTTTCTTGTGGAGAGTCCATAGTTTCAGACTAGAAATGTAGACCAGAGCTTTAGGACAGCTGGAATTTGTTCACTTACCTGCAGGCATAGAGAGTTTTTTTTCCCCCGCTCTGGCACTCACTGCCACATTTCCCAACCAGACAGAGCCTGGTAATCCATCTCAGAGAAAAGGATAGACTCAAGAAAAAGGAGGGAAGTAAGGCAAAGAGCAATAAAAAACAAAAACATCTAATAGCACACACAACAGCATGAATGAATTGCACAGATATTATGCTAAGTTAGACACACGAAAATGCATGCTGCATGATTCCATTTTTATGAAGTTCAAGAACAGGCAAAAGTAATAGATGATCATAGAAACCATAATAGTGATTGGGGGCACAACAGAACTTATGGTGTGCCTAAAATGCTCTGTATCCAGATTGAGGAAGTGTCTCTTAAGTGATTATTTATGGTAAAACAAAAAATAGTTAATTGATAAAATCAGTGCACATTATGCCTTCTCTAGATGCTTGTCATGCTGTGATACCCAAAAAAACAAAACAAAACAAAACAAATTTAAGGGTGGAATGTGGTGGATAATCATTGTTTTGGGAATCAGGATACCAAACTCTTTGCCCTGGCCCTGTTACCTTCCCGTCACTGAAGCTCTCTGCTCAACTCATAAATGAGCCAACCTCACCCTAGATTGCTCTGTGACCCAGAAAACAGATAACACCAAAGCCTGAATCAGGAAGAAACAAAAGGAATGTGAGTGAGCATGTCCCTACTTTTCTGGAAGTTCTGGAATATGGCATTTTCACCTCCAGCTGTATTATATCCATAAAACACCACTGTGTTTGCTCTAGCCATAGTTTCTGAAGTTGTACTGGGTTCAGAATTAAATAATACTGACTTATTATTTTAACTTTCAACCTCTAATTTGTTTGTGGGGATTTTTTCACTTTAATGAGTAATAGCTGAAGTGACTATTTTTTTTTTATAGAGTTCAAATGAAATACTTCTGAAGTTTTCATAGAACATGTAATTAATTGTCAGGATGTGGTTTCTGTTCTTATTAATTACCCTACCCTGATAAAGATATCTCTGAATTAACTCCCCTCAATTTTCTCCACACACTTACACTCAGACTTCACATACTTAATTGGTTCATGTTTATGAATCTTTGTTCATGGGTTCCTTTTTCTTCATGGACATATGCTCTTTCATGCCCTTAGGTTTATGACCTTTCCATTGGCAGAGATAATGTTTTCTATTCTTTTTTTTTTTTCCCCTAATTGCACCAAAAATGTGGGCCTTTGAAAGCTCTTGATTATTGCCATCACAAGTTATACTCAAATCCTTTTAGGAAATTTTTTTTTTCTATCACCAGAACCATATTACCAGGAAAAATTAAAATGGGCCTTGTACTGAAAAGTGCCTATAGTGTAATAGAGACAAAAAGTTGAATTATATATCTTATTTTTAACTTGAGATATAATTCACATATGTAAAACTCACTATTTTAAAGCATACAATTGATATTGATTATATTCACAAAGTTGGGCAGCATCTACTTCTAGAATATGTTCCCATCCCCCAAAGAAACCCTATTCCCATCAGCAGCCACTCCTCATGGTCCTCACCCCAAACCCCTGGAATCCACTAATGTACTTTGTGTCTCTTTAGATTTGCCTGTATTAGATATTTCATATAAACAGAATTATACAATATATGACCTTTTATGTCTGACTTCTTTCACTTAGCATATTTTCAAGGCTCACCTCTATTGTTACATATATCATTACTTCCTTTTACTTGCTAAATAATATTCCATTGTGTGGACATACCAACTACATTTTGTTTATCCATCCATCAGCTGATGGGCACCTGGGCTGTTCCCACGTTAGGGCTACTATAAATAGTAGTGCTGCTATGAACATTTGTATATGAGTTTTTGTGTGAACATGTTTTCAGTTCTCCTGAGTGTACCTAGGAGTGGAATTGCTAGACCATATGTTAACTCTTTAATTTTTTGAGGAACTGCCAAAGTATTTTCCAAAGTGGCTGTACCATTTTACATTCCCACCAGTAATGTACAAGGGTTCCAATTTCTCCATATCCTTACCAATATTTGTTATTGTCTTTTTAAAATAAAATATGTATTCTGACGCTATTATCATTTCTCCTGGCCTCTATCAAAGTTGATGGCTTCTCAAACTTCATTCTGACTTGATTGTGCAATATACTTGCAGGTTAATGAATAAGATGATGATCAGAAGTATCTGGATATATGTACATATGTTTTTCTTGTTCTTTAAGGTTCATAAACATTATAAGATTCCTTAACAAACCTTCAGTTTAAAAAACCAAATTATTTATACTGTACTGTAAGTGGGTTTTTTAATACCTTAATGGGTTTTATTATTGTAAAGGTAATCTATATAAAGTGTTTGCCATAAAAAATTAGAATATTGGATAAAACAGTTAAAAATCACTTGTAAAATTCTAAGACCCAGAGATGGTGGTTGTTTGCACTTATGGTGAACCACTTTAATCTTTTTTCTATGTGAAGGATAGTCACAAATTTACTTCACAATCTGATGGGTGGAGGAAGTTTAATATCTTTATTTTGTCAATACCTTATTTCACTGTCCTCACTGGTTATAGGTAAAATTCGAACTGTTTAGAATTAGTCAAATCTATCTGTCTTCAGGCAGTGCTTAGTTTCCTTTGGGTAAAAATGTGTGATCTCTCACGTTGACTCAGGTTTCCACTGTCCAATGATAAGAATTGGTTTGCAATATAGTTTTAGGAAAAGGAAGTCTATACTAAAGATATTTATAGAATTCTGAACTTTAAAACAGTCATCCCTTCATGATATTTTGGCTCCAAGAGGTTTGATATAGGAATGTCCTTCTAACAGTCACCTGCAGAGAGATTTCTGTTCTGTGATAACCAGGAGAGAACGTCTTCCTTGCTGGCTGCAGTGAGTCTCAGGGTCCTCACTCACCTCTTGCCAAGGGAACAAAAACATCCTTGGAGGCAATGAAAAGATTCTATCAGCCATTCTCTCCATTCTGTCTGGATACTAAGTTCGCATCTCATAGAATATGGGGAACCTTGGGCCCTCCAAGTAGTTTACAATACATCCTCTATCTTTTCTGCCATATAATTATTGTCCCACATCTTGCTTAGTTGAAAAACCCCAGTGCATTGCAGAGTACTGTGATACAATCCAATTTTGAGCATATGATGGGATCAGATGTTCCTTTGATACAAATGGAAATAGAGAGTTAGATATTCCTTTCCTTAAATTGAAGTTGGATCTTGACCACAGAGTAAATGCTATTGTTTGTGTCCAAACCTAGCAAAAAGTGTTCTTTTGGATTTTAATGGTTGATAGAAAGGTGGCATTCAAGTATTAAGGTTGTTTTAATACCTTTCTGTGAAACATCCCTGTGTCAGAAAAGCCTATAGCTGTAATGGCATTTCAATTTTCTGAGAGACACTAACATCTCAATTGTCTCTCTAATCTCCACAGTGAGTACATGTTGGTTTATTTATATGTGAGGAAAGTCATTTTGGATAAATAAAAGAAAGTGTTTTTGGCAAAATGATTTTCTTATGGGATTCACTTCATGTCTGTCAAGCATAATGTTTACCCAGAAAAAACTTCAGCCTTAGGATGGCAAATTCTAGATTGCAAACGGAGAATAAATGGCTTCCAAAGTAAGAAAGAAGAAAAATATGATTTTTACATCTACATCCAGTTCTAAAATCCTGGGATGCAGAGATCTGTGAAAATATCAGCACTCCTCATTTGGCACAGAGATAAAAGCATGAAGTATCATTAGGATCTGAGACATTCCAGAAAAATGCCCAGGTGTGGATCAAGGACTTTGTGTGCCCCACCTCATGTCCTTCTCAGCCAGCCTTTCCCTCCATCACTGCTATGACCTGTTCTGTACAAACATAGGCTGGTTGCACCTGAGCTGAGCCACCTGTCTCTTGTTTCCCACCTGAGACTCCTGAGTACTGAATATATATATATAAAACACAACAAACTGGAAAATTCTTAAAGAGATGGGAATACCAGAACACTTTACCTGCCTCCTGAGAAACCTATATGAGGTCAAGAAACAACAGTTAGAACCGGATATGGAACAACAGACTGGTTCCAAACTGGGAAAGGAGTATGTCAAGGCTGTATATTGTCACCCTGCTTATTTAACTTATATGCAGAGTACATCATGCAAAATACAGGGCTGGATGAAGCACAAGCTGGAATCAGGATTGTGGAGAGAAATATGAATAACCTCAGATATGCAGATGACACCATCCTTATGGCAGAAAGTGAAGANGATCTGAGATAAGTGGAAATAACTGTCACTTAAAAGCATTGATCCTCTCAAAGCCTTGCAGTTCCTTTGAAAAAACGTGATTGCCTCTGAAAGGAGAACAGAGTTCCTTGCTTATTTGCATTCTTCTATTTCAGGCAAATGCCCGCAGCCCTGTCGAAATGCAGGTAAATGCATTGGTAAAAACAAATGCAAGTGCTCCAAAGGCTACCAAGGAGACCTCTGTTCAAAGCGTAAGTACCCTGTACATGCAGCCGACCTGTGTTATGGGATAGTTAAACTAGCAGGGATCTCTTCTTCCTTACTTCCTAACTTCTGTACCTACTGCATGTTGCTGAGGCATCACAATTAACCTTTCTTCAGTGACATTTATGTTTCTTGAGGTAGACCAAAGACATGAAATCCATGCATGTAAAAAAAAAAAAAAACTTAAGACACATTTGCACACACCACCAAACTTTTTAACTATTAGGAATTTTCTTAAGGAAGATAAGCTTCCATTGCCTAGCAGTTTCAATGTCCTCCTGAGTGTCTTTTGTCAATGAGAAACATCAAGTCTAGATCACTTTCAGGAGAGTCCAAAACTGACTTCTAGCTGGAGATTGACTTAGAAAAACACATGAAGGGATGAAGCCAAAACTAACACATTCGAAAGAACTGCAGGGAAGTCGGCTGCGTAAATCTGTTAACCAGTGACAGCTCAGGAAACATTTTCTCTATCTCCTTTGACTCTAGCTGTCTGCAAGCCTGGCTGTGGTACACGCGGAACCTGCCATGAACCCAACAAATGCCAGTGTCAGGAGGGCTGGCATGGGAGGCACTGCAATAAAAGTGAGTGTGAACCGTCTGCGGAGCCAGACCCTTGCACGCCTCTCTCCTGGCTCCAACGGCCGGGACAGACAAGCCGTAACTCAGCCCTGCTTTCCGCTGCGTAAAGCCAACTTCTCCTCCTCTTCCTGTTCTCTCTAGTGCCCACCCCCCCACCAGAACGCTCTAGCTTTCGTATGTAAAGGAAAGAAAGCATCACTGTAAAATACCACTACATCTGTAAAACATCACCACCGATATTTTCCAGGTTAAATTAGTACTACAGGTTGGTTTGGTAATATGGTATGTTAACTTTAATAGAAAGGAGTGAGATTTCTAAATCACATGTAGATCAGTAGCTACACGGTTCTCATTTTATCATTCAGGATTGATCAAGGAGGATTAGAACATGAAGAGTTTTGCTGTGTAAAATCTTTACACTGTGTTGGCTGTGGGATGCTTTAAATGGGTTCTTTCGAGGGAGAGAAAAGGTCTGTGAAGTACAGGAGAGATGTTAACGTGGAGTTGTATTTTTTCCACATTTACTGACCACCCAACATGGACTGGCTATAGGATAATAAACCACTGGTCTGTTTTATACACAAAATGAAAGTTAAAGTTGCTAAATTCAATCATTCTGTTTTGATTGATATCGTCTCTGTGCTAAGCATGGATCCAGGCACTGAAAACACACCAGTGAACAGACAGAAAAGATCCTGCCTGGTGGGGCCCAGTTTCAAGAGGAAGGGGCAGTCGATCAGCAAGTGGAGGAAATAAATAATGCATCTCTGCAGGTTCATCCTGCAGCTTGAACTCTCTCTCCTGAGGATGGATCCACTTGCTACTTTCTGTGGGCAAAGGAAGGCTTCATTCAGTCATGCAGCTCCCTTGATTAATAGAAGTCCAGATTGTGCCTATCAAATTGTTTCCAAAATAATGCACACAAAGTGAACAGATCACTTTCATATCAGGTGTTTTTTCTAAATCAGTGGTCTCCAAAGGGTGATGCATATAGCTCAGTGAGTGTGGAATGGTCATCTGGGGTGCTGAGGGAAAATATTAGTTTGAAGACATTTTTAAAAATATTTTATGTTCTTTTATTACATTTAGGTAGAAATTTTATATGTATAATTATATATCCCAATCTCTAATTCTTACTTTTTGTACATATTCTATAACTCACATTGTACTATTCTGATATGTATAAAACCAGTTATGTGTAGCTTTACATGTTTGTTTGTCTTAAAGTATATTGGTGTCTGGCCTAGGCTACACTGAGCCATTGATTTGAGTCTTTTCTTTCCCACTGTTGCTTCACGGGATGGTAGATTGAATTGGCTTCAGGTGGACATAGCTTAAAAAGTGGAGTTCCTCTGGAAAATGGCTCCTTTACCCAGGTGGGAATGATGGAATGGTACCAAACGGGGCAGAAAGGGACCTTCCTTCAGGTAAAAGACCTATAGAAAATTAACCATTCCCAGGAGGCAAGTGAGAGGCCCTCATGCATGCAGTTTAGATGAGCAGTTCTGACAGGTCTGCCAGCCCCAGGAGCACCCTCGCTTGTAGACTTGGCTGCCGAAAGCTTTTGTCATCTCGGCCGCCTTCAGATTCAGGCATGCATGTCAAGAAGATGCCTTGGTGCTTGATTAAAATGCAAGCATGTTTTACAGAAGAGGCCCCCCAGCCATTTTGTACAGTGGCTGAGAGAATCAGGCTGAAAGAATGAGGTTAATTTTGCTTAAAAGGAGATGACAAGGAAGCTGTGAGGCACAGTTCTGCTAAGAACAGATTCCCATTGGGGCGACACATTGGGAGGTCCCAGGCACCCAGACATCCTAGTTGGGAGGGAGAAGACTGGAGACAGACTTCCTGGCTTGGGCTCTGCTTCATGGGTGGCAGGGTGAGCAGCGGGATAGGGATTGTCGGCTCATTGTCTTCGCGGGTCCATGAGCTACTAGCCTACATACTGACAATTCAAAGAAAAGCATTCAGGAACAAAGTATTCTGTTCTCAGCAGTGACTTAATGACATTCTTGCATTTAAAAACCACAGGGAACAAATGAAATGCCAAACTTGACTCTAACGCACAGGAAGATGGAGGCAGATTTTTAACTGCTGTCTTAGATCAGTTTTAGGAAATCAGCAGAAGTGAGTCAGTGATCCAGGCATCTTCAGAAGTTCGTAAGTAATAAGAAAAGAAGCCTTGAGTTGTGTAACTCACAACTGACATTGTATAATTGTGTTACACTCCTCTTAGGATGAACTGGAAATGCTATCAGTAGACACCCATCTTGACCAAAGCTCACGAATGCCCACTGAGAAGGAGTCAGTTCAAATCCTGGCCCTTCTCTAATCTGTGTACTGAAAGTACCTGTTTTTTTAAATAATTCTCTTTTCCTAAGTTCTTTTAGATTGATTCATTTTTTTAAATTTTTATTTTGTATTGGGGTATAGCCAGTTAATAATGTTGTAATAGTTTCAGGTGAATAGCGAAGGGACTCTGCTACACATGTAAATGTAGCCATTCTCCCCCAAACTCACCTTCCATCTAGGCTGCCATATAGCATTGAGAGCCCTTGTTATGCAGTCCTGTTGGTTGTCCATTTCAAATATAGCAGTGTGCACATGTTCATCCCAAACTGCCTAGCTATCCCTTCTACCCATCCTTCTCCTTCACCCCCTGCAACCATAAGTTCATTCTCTAGTCTGAGTCTCTTTCTTTTTTGTAAGTAAATTTGTTTGTATCATTTCTTTTTAGATTCCACATATGAAGGATGTCATACAATAATTCTCCTTCTCTGTCTGACTTATGGAAGTCCTTAATTTTTATAAAATTCCTATTCTGGATAAATGCAATAGCCATGCCTAGTCACGTGATCTGTATGAAGAATGGGGGTTGTTATTATTGAAGCAGATCAATAATAATGGAGGTTGGTTTTGCAAGGCAACGAAAGGATCAGTGACAACATTCTCTGCAATGGGACCTCAGTGCTCGATCCTTACTAGCCCTTGGATGGAGAATCCTTTCATTCAATAACATTCATCCCAAGTTTGCTTCAAGCGTGGCATGACCAAAATATATAGTGAATCAGAGATTCAATGGAAGCCAGATTTGATGGAGTTAGTAAAATGAATTTCTTTTAAAAGAGATCTTGAACCTGTAACATCTCATCATTCAGGTAGCTTTTTGTGGTCGCTGTGGTCTTTCACTCTGGGTTGGAAAGAGAAAACGGATTTTATTTGAATGGTGAATAATGAATCCGAAGAGCGTGTTTTTGTAGTTTCTTTTCTTTTAAGCTGTGAATAATTTTGCAGGGTATGGAGCCAGCCTCCTGCATGCCCTGAGGCCAGCCGGCGCCCGGCTCAGGCAGCACACGCCTTCAGTTAAAAAGGCCGAGGAGCGGCAGGACCCGCCTGAATCCAATTACATCTGGTGAACTCCGACATCTGAAACATTTTAAGTTACACCAAGTTCATAGCCTTTGTTAACCTTTCATGTGTTGACTGTTCAAATAATGTTTATTACAGTTAAGAATACTGGCCTGAATTTTATTAGCTTCATTATAAATCACTGAGCTGATATTTACTCTTCCTTTTAAGTTTTCTAAGTACATCTGTAGCATGATGGTATAGATTTTCTTGTTTCGGTGCTTTGGGACCAACTTTATGTTATGTCAGTTGTTCAGGTTAAATTTTTGTCTTTTCAATGTGTACTTGGCAGATAATTTCCAAAAGTACAATGTATTCATGGTATTGAGGGGCTGGGCAACATTAGAGAAGATAACTGGAACAAAAATGCATAAATCACAAGGGTTTGGATGAAGCAGTTGAAAGTGCTGAAGTTTTAGTATGTATTTAGACATTTGTCACATTTAAAAAATTCCCCTTAAACTCACAATACATTTTGACCTTATCATGATTCCAGAGAATTCAGTATTAAAAAAGAAAGAGAAAGAAATAACACTGTGGTAGTGACATTTAACGATATAATATATTGTAAACACAATAAAATAGGGAATATATGTATGAACTTTTGGCATTGGCTTGAAGCAATATAATATATTGTAAACAAAACACAGCTCTTACATAAACATTTTATACTGTTTGTATGTATAAAATAAAGATGCTGCTTTAGTTTTCTGAGTGTGGTATGGAGTGGTCTTTGCATGTGCTAGTTTATGGAAATAAAGTTGGTTGCAATTGAATAGAAAACTTTGCAATATCATAAAAAAGAGAAGATATTCTTTCCCTGACTCTGGACTAGCTCTCCAGCCTCATCTTGCCCTCCCAGTACTGTCTCTACTTCAGCCACGCCACACTATACTCTGTCGTCAGAGCCTGCAACACTCCTATTTATGTCAGCTCCCAGCTTGCTGTCATTTCTTTCAAGAAATCTTCTCTAACTAGGATATGCTAAATATCCCATTAGTGAAGACTTTCTCATGGTGTGGAAATATTACAAATGAAAGTGTTACCAACTGGGAATGTAAATTGATACAGCCACCATGGAAAACCGTATGGAGATTCTTTAAAAAACTAAAAATAGAGTTACCATACGATCCAGCAATCCCACTCCTGGGCACATATCTGGAGAAAACTATAATTCAGAAAGATACAGGCATTTTAACATTCATAGCAGCACTATTTATAATACCTAAGGCATGGAACCAACCTAAATGTCCATCAACAGATGAAAGGATAAAGAAGATGTAGGCTATACAGTGGAATATTACTCAGGAATAAAAAGAATGAGGTAACGCTATTTGCAGTTACATGGATAGACTGAGAGGCCATTATACTGAGTGAAGTAAATCAGACAAAGATAAACAATATTTCTTATATGGAGAACCTAAAAAAAATGGTACAAATGAACTTATTTACAAAATAGAAATATGGTCACAGATATAGAAAATTAAGGGGAAAATATGGGGCAGGATAAACAGGGAGATTGGGCTCAACAGATACACACTATTATATGTAAAACAGATAACTAATAGAAACCTACTGTACAGAACAGGGAAGTCGACTCAGTACTCTATAATGATCTATCTGGGAAAAGAACTGGGAAAAAAGTGTATGTATGTGTATCGCTGGGTTGCTTTGCTGCGCAGTGGAAACTGGCACAACATTGAAAATCAACTGTACTCCCATAAAAGTTAATTTTTAAAAGTAACCAACAAGGACCTACCGTATAGCACAGGAACACTGCTCAATAGTTTGTGATAACTTAAATGGGAAAACAACTTGAAAAAGAATGGATACATGTATATGTATAACTGAATCACTTTAGGGGTACACCTGAAACCAGTACAACATTATTAATCAACTATGCTCCAATATAAAATTAATTTAAACAATGAACATGTGGTATGCAATGGAATATTACCCATAAAAGAATGAAACTGCCATTTGCAGCAACGTGGATGGACCTAGAGAGGATCACACTATAAGAAGTCAGAGAAGACAAATACCTTGTTATATCACTCACGTGGGATCTAAAGTACGATACAAATGAACTTATTTACAAAACAGAAACCGACTCACAGACATAACAAACAAATCTGGTTGCCAAAGGGGAGAGGGAGTGGAGGAGTGATAAACTCGGAGTTTGAGATTAGCAGATACACACTACCATACATTAAACAGATAAACAATGGCCCTACTATATGACACAGGGAACTAAATTCAATATCCTGTAATAAACCATACTCAAAAATGTCTGAAAAAGAATACACACACACACACACACACACACATATATATATACATATATAAACTGAATCATTTTGCTATATATCAGAAACTACCATACATTGTAATTCAACCATACTTCAACTTTTAAGTGCTACCCTTTATTAAGAACCTATTGGTTCCCAAGAATATGAAATGTGTTATCTTACAATCCTATAAGGCAGGTATCATTATGCAATTTTGCATAGAAGAAAAGCAAGTCATGGAGACAGGAAGAGATTTACCCAAGACCACACATAATAGGGATGGGCTTGAATTCATGCCACTTGCCTCTGAAGCCTTAACACTGTGCTCTTCTTCCTTTTTTCAGCAAATAGAGCAGAACACAAACCTCTACAAATCCTAGGTAGCAACTTCTCAACCAATTATTCGCCTCATTCTCCCAATGGAATGTGGACCTTATTTTATAGATAGTCTAAAGTTCACAAGCTTTTTTACACTGGACAATGACATAACCAGTTGTGTGATTTAGGGAAGTGACACATGTTAGAGGAGGAGATCAAGGAACAGGCTGGAAGCAGAGTGATCACATCTTGCTGAGGTGGTTGACCACAGCAGTCTTTCTCCTCTAACTAGCCAGAGCCCAGAGTGTCAGCCTGTGCTCACATAGGCTTGGCAAAGCAGACCAGAAGCCAGGAAATCCTAATATGAGAACTGGCTTACTTATTAAAGACTTCTAAATAAAAGTCCAGATGCATGATTATGAGGATCTGAGAGGTAGCAGAAAGTTAATTTTGGGAATAGGATAATAATAATAGTTGACACATATAGTGCTTAGTTTATTCTGAACACTTTACTTGTATTAACTCATAATGAAGAATAGAATTGTAAGGAAGCTGGACTGAAGGCATGGTGACAAACTGCAATAGTCTAGGTGAGTCATCTCCAAACCATTTTGACTGCACATTCCAGCAGAAATTTTTGAGTTCATAGTCCTTTGCGTGTGTGCGTTCTAAGTCGCTTCATATGTATCTGACTCTTTGCGACCCTATGGACCATAGCCCACCAGGCTCTTCTGTTCATGGAATTCTCCAGGCAAGAATCCTGCAGTGGGTTGCCATGCTCTCCTCCAAACCCACGTCTCTTAAGTCTCCTGCCTTGGCAGGGGGTTCTTTACCACTAGTGCCCTCTGGGAAGCCCCTCATAGTCCTATATATGACTATTATTTATTTACATGTATTACTGTACCACTATGTACATTATAAAAGCCAGAAATGTTAAAAGGAAGAGGTAAACTCTACATTGTTGGTGGAAATGTAAGCTGGTGCAGCCACTATGAAAAACAGTATGGAAGTTTCTCAGAAAACTGAAATTAGAATTTCCATATGATCTAGAAATCCCATTCCTGGGCATATATCTGGAAAAAACTATAATTCAAAAAGATTCATACACCCTTCAAGAGAAATCTATTGCTTAAGAAGGTGTTGTTTTTTAAACAGAAGAACTCTATTTGACAATTTTAAAACCTTGGGAGAAATAGCTCTTAGAAGAATTAAATATTTAAAACTTGTTCTGAAGCACTTTTACTTTTCTCTCCCAGAGTCTAACATATGAAAGGATCATTTGCTTTGGTCAGAAATGTATTTTATGTTCATAGCAGCACTATTCACAATAGCCAAGACAAGAAAAAAACCTAAATGTCCATCAACAGATGAATAGATAAAGAAGATATGGTACATACATACATATATATATACAGTGGGATACTATTCAGCCATAAAAAAGAACAAAATAATGCCATTTACAGCAAGATGGATGAAACCAGAGATTATCATAGTAAATGAAGTAGGTCAGAAAGAGAAAGACAAATACCATATGATATCACTTATATGTGGACTCTAAAATATGACACAAATAAACCTAACTATGGTGGCTCAGATGGTAAAGAATCTGCCTGCAATGCAGGAGACCTGGAGTTGGTCCCTGGGTTGGGAAGATCGCCGGGAGGAGGGCATGGCAGCCCACTCCAGTATTCATGCCTGGAGAATCCCCATGGACAGAGGAGCCTGGTGGGCTAAGTCCATGGGTTCACAAAGAGTCAGAGGCTACATGGGTCGCAAAGAGTCAGACACAACTGAGTAACTAAGCACGGTACAAACCTAACTATGAAATAGAAACAGACTCACAGACACAGAGAACAAACTTGTGGTTTCCAGGGAGAAGGGAGTTGGAGAGATGGAGTGGGAGATCAGGATTAGCAGACGTAAGCTTTTATACATAGAATGAATAAACAACAAGGTCCCTACTGTGTAGCACAGGAAACTATATTCAATATCCTGTGATAAACCACAATGGGAAAGAATATTTTTAAAAAGAATGTATGTATGTGTGTGTGTGTATATACACACACACACACACATACATGTATGTGTGTGAAGAACTGAATCACTTTGTAATACAGCAGTAATTAACACAACACTATAGTCACTGTACTTCCCCAGCGGCTGGGCTCCTCCAGTGGCTCAGATGGTAAAGAATCTGCCTGTTAATGCAGGAGACCTGGGTTCGATCCCTGGGTCAGGAAGATTCCCCTGGAGAAGGGCATTCAACCCACTCCAGTACTCTTGCCTGGAGAATCCCATGGACAGAGGAGCCTGGTGGCCTACAGTCCATGGGGTCACAGAGTCAGATACAACTGAGTGACTAGCACACACACAGTCAAACAAATTTCAATAAAAATGAATTTTAAAAAAGGAAGAGGTAGAAATATATGTAGCATCTCTAACATATTATTTCCTTCACTTACCCTTAAAGGTAACTTTACATACACCTGGAGTACACATATGCCCCCAGAGGAGACTTCAGGTAAAGGGAAGAGATAGTAGGATCTGAAACGGCTTTAGCATCAGAGAGGAGAGCCTAGACTCAAAAGAAACATCAAATCTAAACAGGGGACTAGATGACTGATGGGATGTAAGGGTGAAGAAAAGAAAGGAACCTGGACAGGGATGCTAATGAGTAAGGAGGAACAAGAGTGAGCAGGGATGTTCCTTTCCAGAGATGCTGAGTTTGGTTTCGAAGAAGTTAAGTTTAATGGACATTTTGGTGGAATTGTCTGCTAAGGCATTTGGAAATACAGCTAGGAGGTTAGGCCCAAAAATTCGTTGACTAGTAGTCACATTATAAATGAAGGATACTCATTATATATTGAATTACTTTTAATAACAATATACATATTAGCTTTACTTGGTGAGGGGCAGTATGACTAACTTGTTTTATTGTGCTTTTAGATTCTACATACAGCTAACATACTTTGCTGCCTACCTGTGTATGTTTATTTATATAACAATGTGGCCTTTACTATGGGGCAAATTGATTGAGCCATTCTGCCCTTTTGCCCTCCACCATATGCATTATGAATTTTCATCTGAACTATATTCCCTTTGGTCACT